TTATTTTAGGCCCTGTTTACACGAGAACGCCCGCGGGTGAAAACGTAAAAATATTTTATCGGATGTGCCTTTCGTTTACACGGCGACGGCGTTTTTGAGGCTTAAAAACGCAAAAAAGTGAAAGCAACCTCCAGAGTGGAAATCTTAAAGTCCCCGTGAAATCAAAATTGAACCTATTTACTTTGTTAGAGCATATTACTAGTCTTGTGGTGAACAATTAATCCGTGCAAGTGAATATATATATAAAAAATGTTTTACCTTAGTAATCTTTAATCAAAATCTGAAAAGTTACTTCCGGTCTGGAACGGTTTCTTTTTCTGATGACGTAGGTTTCACAGTTTGGGTGAGGAAACGCTTAACCACTCCCCTCAAACCGTTAGTTTGCTATGAGCGAGAGATGGAGAGGAGGAGCGCTAGAGTAAAACCCTGCCCTCTGTTCAATATTCCGTTTCACTTGGAAATACGTCACAGCACTGGAGAAAAATTGTTTGCAACTTCCGGTTCACGGGGACTTTAAAAACGCTCCACCGCGGTAAAAACGCAAAAGTTTGCATGACAGTGAAGGCTGTACGCAGGCGCGCGGACTTGGTGTTGTTGTAGTATGCACTCCTAGCCGCCTGAAGTGCATACTACATTGAATTTCACACACTTTTACGTCACCATTTGCACGCACACAACGCTCGTCTAAACGCAGAATAAAAAGTGATGACCCAACGCCAAATTTGCGTTTTCTCTTCAGAATCGTTTCCATGTAAACATAGCCTTAGTCATCAGTCATTTCAAATTGTAATATTTCACAATATTACTGTTTTTACTCTATTTTTGATCAAATAAATGCAGCCTTGCTGAGAAAGAGACTTCTTTTAAAAATATTCTAAACTATTTACCGACACCAAGTTAGTTAACACTAGTGTATTATGACTGGACAAAAAGTTAACTTAGTCTTAAGTTGGGACTAAAAGGAGTCTCTAATTCTAATCTTGCACGCCATATTCAAGTTCAAACGGACTTTATTGGCATGACTGTAGTACACTATATAGAACTGATACTATGCAAATTGGGTTATTGCCAGTAACTGTGACTGTACTGTAAAATTAGAATAATAATTCACTCAAACCATAACGCCTGAGCCGCTCTGCAGCGATGTTGTGGATAAGAGAGATTAAGATGGTTTGTTCACTGGGATGCTTGTGTGTGGGGGCGTTCTCGGAGAGAGCATCTATGAGATGTTGCTGTGTGATTGCTCCAGGCCTGGGTTGAAAAGCCATGGCAGAAGGTCATTAGATTCTGGTTTCACATTAGCATGTGCTGAATGGGATTACCCAGCCAGAGGAGCTCAGAGGAGACCAACACACACACACCCTAAAGGCTTTACTGCTAACAGAGCAGCCATTAGCAGAACACCAGCAAACAGCCTCTCTTATTTGTCTGTCTGTTGATGTTTCATTGTTATTTTTTTCCTAGGAGTTACCATCCGTCGATGTGTCCTCAAACTCCTCTATTGAGCTCTTTCGGTCTCATCACACTCATAAACACACACACACACACACACAGAGAGAAAGAGAGCAGGGATGGAGTCAAAATATTCACTGCATGACTAAAAGTGGAGTCTCTGTTGACTGCAACACCTTCAGAGAAAATCTCCCTCAGGCTAAAACACATCTTCAGGGACTTTTTTGATATAATAATCACTGTTTTTGTTTTGGACAGCTCTTGTACAGCAACACGAATGTTCAAAGGTGTATTACAGCAAGCAGTAAACCATTTATTACTCAAAATAAAAATAGAAAATAAATTCTCCATTTATTTCTATTTTTCCTATTAAATTGTGTACTACTAAAAATATACATAATAATATAAATAATTAGCATAACAAAAAGCCAGTTCCTTTTATATATACATTAAAAAACATAATTACATTAATATATTGAAGAAAATAATAACAACAACATGCACTGTACAACATTAAACAGTTCACATACATGTAAATCATGTTAAAGGTGCAATGTGTAAAAATTTTGAGTATCTATAAACAGAAATGCAATATGACATCCATAACTATGTGTTCAGTGGTGTATAAAGAACGTGCTTAATAAAACATAATGTTTTTATTACCTTAGAATGAGACATTTATATCTACATAACCGCGGGCACCCACTTCTACGAAGGTTGACATATTGTGACCTCATGTTTCTACCGTAGCCGAACGCGTCCAAACATCGCTACAGAGTGCGTTTCGTCACTCTTGTCATTGAACGTAAAACAGTAACGTTACAGCAATCACCAACCCGTCAATCGCGGTCGACAAGTTGATCTTGGAAGCATTTTAAGTCGATGGCGAAGAGTTGCAGAGGTGCGCACCTTTGGGCTCATGCGGACACGTCGAGTTTAAACAAGGCTTTACGCTTTAAACAGCTCAGCCACGACAGCTCATATTTAGCCTGCTAGCCTGTTAGAAAAACATATAGTTGCATATAGTTTCATGTGGTTCTTCTCCCTCTCTGTATTATGGGTTTGCTATGTGGGGAGAAATGTGCTGGTTACGTTTGTGAAACAATCCGCTGATTACTATTATTATATTATATATTAAGACCCTTTATCCTCACCTGACTATGGCTGTGTAAACTTCATCCATGATGTGGTTTATAATGGCCTGTGGTACAGAAACAGTGACAATGTTAAGGCCTATTCATACCGGGACGAATTTCGTGCGCGTTATTCTCCAACGTTTAAGGCCTCAAGACTAAACAAAGAGCGCAAATGTGAGTGTTCAAATGTGCCACGTGTAAAAGCGCCATTTTTAAAAAAAGCCGTCGGTTCGTTTTTTTAGCTTGACGTGCCGCGTCAAAAACTATCCGACCAGTGAGATTAGCGCTTTTGCTCACGTGTTTGGAGCTTCTGAAGTTACAGTAAAACATCACTTGGGGGCGCTCAAACACAAAACGGTCTTGCCGAGCACACATACGTAACGGCGAAGAAGATATGCGCCAAGTAGTGTCGCCGTCTACACCATAGACATCTATATAAAGGCTAGATATCTCGTCCACGCCGCTGGCCAATGGAGGTTGACGTCTGCACCTGGCGGCCATCTTGTCACAGGCAGCTCGCTCACTCGTAACATTGTGTTAATGGTACATGTACTATTTAAATAACCATAACTTGCTCAATTTTCTACCGATTTTCAAACGGTTTGGTTTGTTTTAAACCTCAGAGATGTAGTTATGACACAGCATACTTATGAATAATAAGTGTATAAATAAATAATCATCCAGATAATTATAGCCACGTTAATAACGTTTGTAAGAAACCAAACCGTTTGTAAATCCGTTAAGATTTCAACGAGATAAGAGTATTTGTGTTCGTGCTGACCACAAATCTTACATCAGCTAGCCTGTGACAAGATGGCCGCCGGTGATGACGATAGAAATTCCGCCTTAAGCAGTGTTGTGCAAGTTACTTCCAAACTGTAATACATTAGGTATTACTTGTTACTGTTATTTAAAAGTAATTCATTACCTTACAATATTACTGTCCCAGAATTGTAATGCGTTACATTACTCATGTATTACTTTTAGAGTTACTTTCACCAAAATAACTAAGTAGAACTTAACTTTTGGGCTGTAACGATATGCAATATGAAACCGAAATCGCGATTCGCCGCAAGACTCGACCTACAGAATCGCGACACACCTCTTCCAACTCCAGCGTTATTCTCCTTACCGTCCAGATCCAATGCTGCCTTATCTTTAAATTAGGCTATTAGTATTATTTGAAGTTAACATTATAAAATACGTAGACCTACACCACAAATCTAGTTGAGGATAAATTATTTAAAATTGGGGAAGTCCAGCATTATGGACATGACATTTGCAGTCAAAACTTGACTGCAAATGTTCTTAAAACTTAAAAATTCTCAGAAAATACATGTATTGAAACGTATATAGGCTACTTCCTTAAAGGACTCCAGACATTAGACAAATATCAGTCTATGTTTTATTTTTAATATTAGGGAAAAGACACACATTCATGCGTGACAAAAAAATAGGAGGCAAAATCGATTATTTGTAATTCTGTTAATTACACTGCGCAAATCGGATGAGGAAGGGTTGGCTCTCCAGTCTCCATAGAACTTAAAATATTCATTTTACTTTAGTTTTCGTGTTCGCATTTAAGAGGAAAAAACAATGTTACAGACGCGACCGCTCTGAACTGGCACTAAAAGACTGCTTTAAAACTTTCACATATCTGTTGCCTTTAAGAAGTAAAAGCAGACAATACACTGTAACACAACTGTAATACAAGCCTCACTGAACATGTAACGAGTAAAATATTACTGAAAATTGATTAGTAATGCCTTACACTACTGCGTTACAGCAAAAAGTAATATGTTACTGTAATGTATTACTTTCGTAATGCGTTACTCCCAACACTGGCCTTAAGACATCTAGCCTTTATATAGATATCTATGCTCTACACAGCCAGGAAGAAATAAGACAAGGAAGATGCAAGGCAAGATGAATGTAGAGCTGCTGTTCTCGTTGGTGCTAGAACATAAAGAACTATAAGACAAACGCGACAGGGGCTACAAACAACTTGATAAAAGTGAACTGTTAGTGATACTATTGCTGAGCAAATTGGCGCCATCTAATGTCAGGGATGAATTTGCATGTTCACTCGGCTCATCGTCAGCGAAAATCGCTTGGGTGTGAACTAAAAAAAAAACGCATTAAAAAACGCTGACGAATAACGCACGCTTATATTCGTCCCGGTGTGTACGGGCCTTTACACACTCTTGGCTTACTCTGGCTATTCTCTGCTGTCTCAGACGATGATATGTTTGTCCCGTTTTAGCCACCGTAGCTTCTTCGAAAGGGAAGGGTGAGCAGTAGCCCTTAGTGCAACTCGCAACCGAACCGCTAGATACTGCTAAAAAAAAATACACACTGCACCTTTATGTCTTTTAAAAATAACACCTGATGACAATGACATTCTACACATTCTACATAAAAAAAAAAACACTGAAACTTTATTTGGAAAAATCAGAATGTTATCTTGATAATGTCAGTACAATTCATACTTATATATTCATTCATTATATTCTTGAAAAGTAGCATCTTTCTTCACGCCACGGTTGCAAAAATGCAAAGTCAACCTATATCACATTTCAACGGTATATTGACCAATCAGCATCCAGGACCAGATCAATCTGTTTTATAAGAAGTCTTCAGATGCTTCATCCATCCGACAGGATATGATTTCAAGTCTTTATCCTGCGGCCAAATTAAAACGGTCCGTCTTAACCAGGCGATGCATGTTTGATATGGTGTAAAGAGCATCTCACAGCATTTCTGCATGATATTGCTGTTACCATACTGCAAGAATGATTCATCATCAAAAACACGCATGCAGGAACGCTGCCAATAGGCCGAGCATCTGGGAAAACGTGCTCTCGGCTTTAAGCACAACTTAAGATTCCATTGATTTTCATGACTGAAATAAAATCTCACTGGAGTTTAGAGGGCAAGTTTTATGGGTCTATCTCTGGAATGAGAGCTAAGATTGGACAGATAGTCCGCACAGGATTTGGAACTGAATTTAAAACTCTTATACACAGCACACAACGTCATGTATCGAGATGTTCTTATGGTAATCTGTCAAAAGGGTAGATTCATAGATGAGATGTGGCATCAATAATTGTGCACATGTTATATTGCCTGTAAATGACTTTATTTTTATGACCCGAGTGATCTGTCTTTCTAGGGAGTGTCATGAAGAGAAACTACACCTCAACGCTGCCCTCTACTGACAAACGCATCATATCGCAACAACGACAGACAAGCTGATGACTTGTCAGAGATGTGAAACTCAGTTCCTGGAGGGCCACAGTCCTGTAGAGTTTAGCTTCAACATGAATTAAGCAGACCTGATCCAGCTAGTCGAGTCCTTCAGGCTTATTTGAAAACAAATTCCAATCGTTATGCCCTACTCACTTTGAAGGGTACTAGGTCCCTTGAAGTGGGGGCTTTGGAGGGAGCAGGGTGCTTGTGTGTCATAATGAAACTGTCTAGAACGCACTTGGCAAAGAAAGCAATGAAAGACCAAGTCATTTCCTCATTAGCATCACATGGAATGTTACCACAACAACGGAATATCTTATTATTGCTGTTAATATGATACAAACGAATGTACTTTTATGATTAAGTTTTTAAAATATGCTTTATGTGTGTGTGTTCTCAAGCTGCTCTTATATTTATAAGGTAAACACATTTCTTACCTTTTTAAAACTTAATATGAATTGCATGACGAAAATGAGCGTGTTGCATCATCACAAAACAAAAGACTTGAATGACTCCGTTCTGTTTATACATTAAATCCAACTCTCCCGCCATTTCTAGATTTAAAATCAATGGTGAGGACTTGGGTCACATGACCATAAACGATTGAATTACAGTGACCGTCGTATGTTCCCTTCGCTAACGGACATGTGGAAGGGCCTTTCGTGAAGGGATTGATTAGTTTGAAACGCCCATACAATTGGTGTCCCCTTCCTGAAGTGTACTATTGCACAAGGGTGCAAAAACGCAGTTTGGATTTGGAACTAAACTCTGCAGGAGTGTGGTTTGACACCCCTGCTAAAAATATCAAATTTCCCTTGATTACGTGAGATAAAAAGGTTTGAATTACTATGAAAACATATCGAAAACCATTCAATAAGAACATTTACTGAAACTAAACAGCATACTAAATAACAAACTTACTGATGTCAGAATATATTACCATTCCATAAACAGAAAACAGCAATTTCTTCACACCATCGGTGCTCCGGCCCGAATTACCACTAGGCCTATGGCACGTAAAAATGTGAATAAAGTGGACTAAAACTTAAATAAAAATAAAATAATGAAATGACCCCTTTTACATCACACATGAGTTCTAAAATCAGCACTCAAATTTTCAATTTCTTAAAGTTGTCACACAAATACAGGAATAAACTAAACAACATGATCATAAATTGCTACAATAATTAGAACCGTAATACAAACAAAACTAGAAGCAAAACGTCTGAAGGAAATAAATAGATGCTCTATTACCCAGTGTAAAAATAGCGTCAATAGGTTCCCTTTTTTTAAACCTAAAACCTGTTGCGGTCTCAACTTTCTGCGCGACTCCATTCGGCCGGTGGATCTCGTGGGCCTTTGGGTTTCTTAATGCGACAGTTGAAACCTGAAGCGCAAGAAAAACACAAACAAAGTTTAAAATCACCATGTGCCCTGAGAAACACAAGATAACAGAGCACAGGTCAACGTGAAGTCATATTTTAAATGGATCTTGGATCAGGATCAAATCTATGTCATTTGGGTTTTTACAGGTTCTGAAGAACACAACGTCATCGAAAGGACTTGCTAAGCCTTCAGGTAATTAGCGCCACGAGGTGTTATGTCTTTGCATTAAAAAAAAAACAATTTCTAATATGTTTATTAGTACAATTGCTACTCATAATATCCATACTTATATAAAGAGTCAAATTAACACCAGGAATATCATTTTGTTTATTATAGCTTTTCATTAGTTCTAATATACCATTAGGTATGGACTTGAAAACTAACGAACTGTGATGATTGTATGTTTGTAATCTGCATTCTAAAAAAGAAAAATGAAAAAAGAAAAAGGTAATTAGCGCCACCTATCATCCAGCCGTGAATTAGCAAAAACCATGCAATCGTTTTACATTCATTGTTGTAAAAGCTCCATTCGTCGGCAGTTCGCTCAGCTTCACTGACTCAACGGTAAAAACTAAAAAAAGTGTAATTTTTGCCCCGCATGTTTCCATCCACCTATTTTTATAAAAATTTTGGGATACAAAAATGCTGGATGGAAACAAATGCGCTCAAAAAACTTTTTTTTTATCCGATAAGATGAAATGCACATAAAACTACGATGGAAACTCGTTTACTGAAGAAATCCCTCATTGCGCAGCAAAAAACTTGCATGAATTTGCTTCAACAGAGGATGTGATTGGATCACTGGACTAACCAGCGGATCAGTTTCATCAGCATCTCAAATGTTGGTTTGGTCATTCTGAAAATCTATCATCAAAATGATTGGGTATAACAACCTCCGAGTGTCTCACATGATTGTGTTCTCAGACACCAGGCATCTGAACGTCTCAATGTTTATCGTGTTTTGTCTGCATCCTCTGAGATGCAAATCATTTATGATGTAGGACAAAAGAGCCTCCCTGATTGCAAACTTATATTTTTAGTACATATATTTTGCCACTTTTGTGTGTGTGTGTGTGTGTGTGTTTTGGTTGGTTGGTCTTGGTCTCTTGTGAGCTCCTCTGGTAGGGTTGCAAGTTGCACGTTTGTTCTCTTGAACACAATGGATAGAAACTGTGCTTTATTCGCAAATGTTTTATGCGATATTCCAATTTTGCACCTTTGGCTGGAAACATATTGTTGAGTGAACAATTGCTTTAATGACAAAGATCAGGGGTTTATTTAAACATCTAACCCTATATTTCGAGCAACTGTAAAAGTGATGATTGCATTTCCCAGATATGAACACGGTTGCTTAAAAGGCCCGGAAACCACCCTGTGATGTCACATTTTTGTGGTTGTAAGTGCGTGTGTGTGGTCTGGAAAGCTGTGCACTGCCCACCCTCTATCAGGGTGGTTTACCTATTGTAAAACAGCAATTTATTTATTTTTATTTACTAAAGAAACAAGTTAGCAATTTACACGAGTACAGTAAGGTTGTTTTTGAAGATTGAGAAAGTAGAAACTAGCAGATTTGTCCCAAAACACATCCAAACCTAAATATTTATCATCTCATGTTCACAATGAAGATTAAGTGTGCATATGGTGTAACTCACCCATGCCGGCCGGGGCAAATGAGCTGTTGGTGTCCTTGACAACGCTAGACACATATTCATAATCATCATCTATAGAAGATTGGCTCCCAGCTGAGAAAAACATGTTTGACAATGTTTAATAACTTAAAAACAAACCTCAAGAGCATTAGATTGAAACCAACACTGATCTAACACTTCTTCCTGTTTACTGCTAGACAGCGTTTCAAACTCATTTGTTCGATAAGGAGTCTCAGGGGAACTGAAACGACAACACACCTTACTCTTTATAGTCTATATTTGAAAGCATTCAAAAGTGGATTGTTGACGTATAACACGAGGTCATTCAACATCAAATTTGTACATCTTAAAATGGCCCTGCGGTGTGTGACCAACGCTCCCAATTCACCTACTACTATTGTGAAGAAATAGTGGTAACCCTTCACAATAAGGTTCATTAGTTAACATTAGTTAACTACATTAGTTAACATGTACAATATGTGAACAATACTTCTTCAGCATTTATTAATCTTAGTTAATATTAATTCCAAAATTTACTAATACGTTATTAAAATCAAAGGTTGTATTAGTTAACATTAGTTAATGGACTGTGAACTAACATGAACAGCTGTATTTGTATTAACTAACATTAACAAAGATTAATAAACACTGTAACTAATGCATTGCTCATCGTTAGTTCATGTTAGTTAATGCATTTACTAATGTTAACTAATGAACCTTATTGTAAAGTGTTACCGAAATAGTACATTCTTGTATGCGTGTATCAGAAGAAAGGCAAGTTTTGAGATATAATACTACTTTTAAAGGACTGCTCTGTTGCTTAGTTACGTGCATAACAGTTTGAACTGCCCTGTCAATCATCTTGTCACAGTTACAATCCTCCACATTCAATTTCATTTAATGTCCTACTTTTTGAGAGAGAAATACAGTAACTAGTACGATGATCTGCCAGTCGTAGGTCTTTCATGCGGAGACTCTCCTATTTGCAATTTGCATAATGATGCATTTAAAAGATAATGACCAAACATATCTGAACAATACTTCACAATGTTGTTGCAGATGAAATGTAATGTTGATAACAATAAATATGAATTGTTGAATGAATAAATATGTTTTTGTCAGGTTAGATACTGATTACTCATCACTCAAACCTTTCTACTTTCTAAACCTTTTCTAAACCTCTCTACTTTCCCTACTACAGTCGGACCCACACATGTATCATATTTGTTTTTTTTAAAGGGATACTCCACTTTTTTTTTTGGAAATAAGCTTATTTTACAACTCCCCCAGAGTTAAACAGTTGAGTTTTACCGTTTTTTAATCCATTCAGCCGTTTTTTTTTTTATATTCAGAAGAATATCAGTAACCAGAAAGTTTCTGGTCTCATTGACTTCCATAGTATGAAAAAAATATACTATGGAAGTCAATGAAACCAGAAACTGTCTTATTACTGATATTCTTCTAAATATCAGAAAATCTTCTGAATGGATTTCGAAAACGGTAAAACTCAACTGTTTAACTCTGGGGGAGTTGTAAAATGAGCTTATTTCCAAAAAAAAAAAGTATCCCTTTAACACTTTTTATTCGTGTTTGTATTTTTTGATCATGCAACATGCAGTACTATGATTTGGGATACGCGAATTCTAATTTCGAAAACTATTTAGGGATTTTGGGACGCAGCAAAGTACTTTTTTTAGAAGTACAAAAAGTCCATGTAGACTCAGTTAATAGACCATAAATCATGTATCATAATTATAAGAAAGGGATAAATCAACACCCCATTTTATATTTTTTTTGGTCGAATAAATGATTTGAAAATCTTTTGATTGCATTAATAATAAACAATACTGTTAATGTGTAAATGTCTTCCAGACAAACTTAAACTTGCATAGTACATTAAACAACGCACTTACTTGCACTTGGAGATCGTGAAAGAGGACCTTGTGGCTGAGGAACACAAATTACATGTAATTATATTGATTGCAGATGTCATCTGTGATTGTCAGGGTTACAAAGACCATCAGTCAAATACACATTAGAATCGTATTCAGTGGAAATATTCAATCTGTCATGTTATTTTTACTAAATTTACTGCCTGTAAGTGTCTGATAAAGCTTGTTAACTTGAGTGTGATCTCAGCTAGAAGCCTCATATCACAGGAAGAGGCTGAATGTGTGTCTAATGTGAAACACAAACAAAAGGAGAAACCTGACACATCTACAAGTGTGCAGAGAGGAAATACGGGCCAATAGCTGCATGTAAATGAGTCATATAAGATTAATATGTACTTAGCACTTTAATTTGACATCTAATATGCGAAAATGAAAACCGAACGGACCCATTTGCCAAACATAAATGACTGCAGAATCTTAATACCAATCAGATCATTTACCTGTGCATCTCTATTCATGGACCTCAACTCCCCTGAGAAAAACAAAAACAAAAGGTTTATTCAGAAATCATGAATAAAAGCATTGTAACATTTATTTATTTGATCTTGATAAACAGTATATATATATATGAAGAGTTCAGATGCAAAAGCCTCTAAATGCCATTTGCAAATTTCTTCTTTAATGATGATTTTTATCAAACTTGTATATTTAAGTTCAGTAATTTCACTTAAATAACAATTAATAGGTAATTATCATTGCCATTTAAGTAAAATCACTGAACTTAAATATAAAAGCTTGATAAAAATGATCATTAAAGAAGAAATTTTCAAATTCATATATATATATATATATATATATATATATAGACCACCACCACTATTACTACTACAAAAATAAAAATGAAATGCAAATTATTATTTTTCCTCTAAAACAATTTTAAAAAGACGAATTGTATATATTTTTTTAGGCATAAAGTAAGCCATTTGTAGGTTAATATGTAACTGGTATGTAAACACTGGTGCTATACAAACATATGACATGTTACCTTTTGGCTTAGCAAATGCTGTGAATTCGGAGGCGGGACTATATCTGTTTGGTTGACCAATGGTAGACAGGGGAGAGTTTATGAAACCTGCTTGAAAACACTGGCTATGTTCAAAAAGTAAAACTAGCTTACTACTTGAATACTTCAGTGTTCACTGTATGCTGCTGACTATTTCTGTTTTGTGGAACAGAAATTAAACACTTCACCTGTTAGGACTCAGCCGATACTTTAAAAGTTCATTAATAGATGAAACAAAAAGGCGTTTTAATTCCCTGAGAGATATGGAAATATGAGCTTCAAATAACTGATCTTTAAACCGATAAACACTAAATGAGAGGGCTCTGAATACCCTGGTGATCACATGAAAGAGAAGAACTCAAATAGAACAGAGTCATGAGAGGACAGTGAAAGCTGCAAGCAGAAGTTTCCAAACTTTACTCTCATAAAACAAACAAGTTCCCTCTGTCTGAAATGATCTTCCTTTTAGTCTTCAGCTGAGTTTGCAGTTTTTTTTGTCTACTTAAATACTCAGCATAAATGTGTTTGGCCCGTGCAAACCTTGAGTGTTGTGGATAGTTGCCAGGGCGTTGCTATGCAGTTTCTAGGGTGTTTGCACTAACCAATGTCTGTGTTGGTCTAGTTAACTATTGTACTAATAGATTTTTTTTTAATTATTAATTGAATAAAGGTGAAATTAAAATATATTAGATTAGATTAAAAACCTAAACAAATTGAGAAATGTTGCATTGGCAAATAACTTAATAATTTGCAGTACTAAAATAAATTAGTAAATTACTAAAAATAAAAAGAAAGCCAAATAAAATTATAAAAGTACAAAACAATACTATAACAGCATGTAAATAATACTGGTTCAGGGTTGCTTAGTAGTTACTTAACGGCTACTCACATCGTTTCATTCGTCAGGTGAAAATTGAAAAAAGCCACCACTAATTATGGAATAAAAGACTAATTTAATAAAAATACGAGCCATTCAAGTAGTCCCTTACCTGGCAATAGCTCATAACCGTCATGGTCCATTACTTTAGGTGGCAGTCCTCCTCTCTGATTGGCTGTCGTTGTTCTGTCATAAACCGGTGAGGTGGGAGGAGGCAGGAGTGATCCCGGTCTGTTTTTAGGTTTAACTGCACTGTAGACAGGGGTCTTATTGCTTTTCTCTGAATTAGCATTGTCATAGTGATGAACAGTGTTCGAATTGGTGGCAGAGCTGGGGGGCTGCAGTCTTGGCTTGTTGACGACCGCATAAGTGTCGTTCATCCTGGTCTGAGGAAGAGGATGAGAAAGCCTGGGCTTGAGAAGAGGATTTCTGAAACCACAGACAAACAAGTACACATTAAAGTCGGCATTAAATGAAAAGTAACATAGGCCAGCTAGTAAGAGCTGTGCGATTAAACCTCACTCCCCCGGCCTCAAGAGGCGCACTAGCGACTGATGCTAGAGGCTGCAGTCTTCAGCGTCCTTGTTAGCATGTCCGCCTCCCATACCAGAAACGCCGGTTCAAATACCGCTCTGAGCGATGCGAGTAGAACCAAAGGGTTTAAACTTGTGCCGTGACCCGGATGGGGGTGAGAATTAGGGGGATTGAGTGTCACGAGTGTAAAGGCGGGCATACACTGTGCGATTTTCGTCTGTTTTGAGCTGAATTCTGACTCGTGCGACTCTTTTTCGTGTCGGACCGATTTGTAGTGTACAGGGAGAAACGAGAGGCGATTAACCTCTCACGATCGACAATCGGATGGTCGGATGAATTTCTGGCATGTCAGAAATTTTGGGCGCTCCTCGTGACTATATCGCACAGTTGAAGCAACGCTACGAAACGATTGCCCTAAACTCAGTGTTTTTCCCCTCACTGCACCTGCGCGAAAACAGAAGTTTAACCATTTCATCTGCAGCATAATAAAATTAAAATAAAAACGAAAAGAGGGAGAGCTTTAAGTTCTGTAGTTCAAACTAGCTACAAATTACTGTTGCTTACCTCCAGTTCGTGTTGCAAAATGGATATTACCCACGTCTTCCAAGCCACCTGCGACGTAACACCTCTTTTATTAATTTGTTAAACAATGTTTTTGAAATAAACCTGTTTTTAATTTTCATTGATGATATGTTTGAACATATTATAGACTGTTAATAGCTATTTTATATGCCTATAATTCATTGTAATCGACCTAAATGTTTTAGATAATTTTTAATGAGGAGTAAGATTATGTAATATTTTATTATCCTCACAGCACGTGCTGTGAAAATATTGCGCGGCAAATTAATTACAATAGCGGATCAATTTAATAATAAAATGAGCCTATAGGCCTCCCCTAATAATTATAATACAATAGTACTAATAATAATTAAATGCATAAACTGAAAATGCTAAATCATCTTGATATGGATAGCAGATGCTTGTTTTGACAATATCTCTGGATACATACACGTCTATCGGCGCAATCCAGGGGGTTATCGCAGATATTACACGTATAGTGTGAGCAGTGAAGTCGCAGCTCGACGATCGGACCGTACAGTGTGAGCACATGAATCCTGAACTTTGGCTTTGCATCGCATGCGATTTACTCGTTGAGTGCGAGTAGGTACCTTGCTGAAATCGCACAGACATCTCACAGTGTATGCCCGCCTTAAGCTGCGTGAGTAAACCTCACTCCCCAGGCCTCGAGCGACTGATGCTAGAGGCTGCGGTCTCTTGAATCTTTGTTTGCACGCCTCCCATCCCATTAAGTACACTTATTAGGGGCATTCTTTGATCTGACTTGTTGAATGATAAAATAGGCACGAAAAAAAAAAGATACAACTTTGACCTGTGTAACAACCATTGCTAGCAGCTAGCTACAGCGAATAGTTTTGCACAGACAAGCATCCATTAAAAAAGCAAGACTCTATTCATAATATAAGCCTCACTATGGTGAAGAGATGAGGTCACTTACATTGCCAAGTTAGATATTAGATATTACATATTCAAGTCAGTGGGTATTTGTGACAATGTAGATTGCATTATATTATACAGTAAACATTTTGCTCTGGGTGTCTTGAATACATTGGTGCATCGTGGGACCCCATGTAGAGCAACGTATAATGACCAACTGTCACATTTGCATTCAAAATATCTTAAGAAATATACTGGCACAAGGGGAACTGCAATAACAGAACACATCGACCTTAAAAAATGAATAAATGCTCCGTATAATAGTATGCAGTCATGCAAAATATTCACCTATTCATTACAAAAGTAATATTCATCTGTATGCAAAGCAGAAACACCACCATGAATCCCACTGTGCGAAGAAATAAATATCCAGCTATACATCGATGACTCAGGAGATTAACTCACATTAACTCTGATGAAGTTAGGTGTTAAACAAGAAAAGTGTGGTGTGCGAGACAGAACCGACAATAACAGCTTGCATCTTGGCTGAGTCCACCTGTGTGACACACGGTGACGTAGTTAGCAAAACTGCGCTGTTGTCAATCTCAAATCGGCCTCTGGCTGTGTGGCCACCACTGATTTTAATCACAGACATCCTCAAACAGTCAAACGAGGTTAGAAATTAGGAAATGAGGGTCATTTGTCAACTTACCGTGTTTTAGAAGGTACGTTGAAGCTGCCTAATGAAGCCTTTGGTGAAACCGCATTGATGTACAGAGAGGTCGAAGTCTTGTGTTTCCAATATAAAAAGAAGAAAAAAGACAAACAAAAACCGTGAAATACGCACACCGTGTGGGAGAGCAGCTACACAGAGCGCCTGTGTTCAACTGTTGAAGGATGCCTGAGCATTTGCATAGAGGAAGCACACTACACTGAAGTGTTTCCTGCTAAACTGACTTTTTAAAGCTCAGGGCTCAAGGTCTGGAGGAAGTAAAACAAGATGTGATGTAAAAATGGAATGACAGACTTTAAGTACTTCGATACCAAAGAAAAAAAAAAACTACTAGCCTAACCACTAGTTAACACATGAGTTAAAAATAAGATCAAATACACCAATTACAAATATAGACATGTATACAAATAAAGTAAGATTTAACTGTAGTGTATTCAGGTACAGAAATAATTCGGCCTAAATGTTAAATAATGTAAAAACGACATACAAGTGAGTGAATGATGATAGAAATGTATTTCTTTTGGGTGAACTACAGTATCCCTTTAAATTGGATTTAGCTACACTACCGTTCAAACATCTGTTCTGTTCAAAAAAAGCGGCATTTTTATTTAATCAAACATACAATAAAACAGTAATATAATTACAACTTAAAAAGTTTTTTTTTATTTGAATATATTTTAAAATGTAATTTATTCCTGTGATGACAAAGCTGAATTTTCAACATTATTACACCAGTCTTCAGTGTCACATTCTTCTTCAGAAATCATTCTAATATGCTGATTTGCTGCTCAAGAAGCATTTCTTTTTATTATAAATGTTATTAATGACAATATTTTTGTATCTTGACTTTTTTAGGATTCTTTGATAAATAAAAAGTTCAAAAGAACAGCGTTTATTTGAAATAGAAATATTTTATTGCATTATAAATGTCTTTACTGTCATTTCTGATCAATTCAATGCAAACGTGTCAAAATAGAAATATTTAAGTCTTACCTCTGTATTCTTGTTTTTCACCTGCAAGACCTTCTGAAACATCTGAGCAACCGTATGAAAGACAAATCCATACTGCTCCTGGGGAGATTCACATAAACATGACAAAATGTCATCAGAAATACACATGTTGTTGTGCAATATGACAGAGAGGGCTGAATCCATGTGCTCGGATTAGATAAAAACACAGCTTAAGCATCAAAGCTTGGATATTTTACTTCAATGGGCAGAAGGTTCAATTAGGTTGTAGATGCTTTCTATTATCTGTGCAATGCAAAAAATAAATAAAAATAAATAAAAATTGTAATGTCACCTTGGTCTGCACAGCTGAAGGTCTCTGTTTTCTGAGCTCAAATATCAGGTCAAATATATTAAAATCCTCCTGTATTTGCTGAAAATAAAATAATGCATATGCATGTAATGTTTTTTTAGTCAGATCAAATGACAAGATGACATTCTATCTATCTATCTATCTATCTATCTATCTATCTATCTATCTATCTATCTATCTATCTATCTATCTATCTATCTATCTATCTATCTATCTATCTATCTATCTATCTATCTATCTATCTATCTATCAAATCCTCTTGTATTTTTATGTTGCTACATATATATATATATATATATACAGTCTATGTTTCACCTTCAAGCATGTACATTTTGTATTTGTTATGATGTTGATACCTCAGTCAGTAGTAGATCATTGACATAGTCAATAGCACAAATGACCCCGGTTCTACCGCACCCGGCACTGTAAAGCAAGAGAAGCTGTCACATTTCCACATCGTATGATATGATCCATTCTCCCCCGAGTCTTGGTTCAGAGGGTCACGGGGGGAATTATGGGCCATATTGTTGGACAGAGCCTTTCTCATGTATATAGAGAGAGGGTAATGAGTGAATCTGTGCTGAAGTCTGGAAGTTAACAGGCTTTTCCAGCGCCACATCAGGTGCTGAATATTTAACATGTCTCACTTCATTTAAATAGTGCCATTAAAATGCATGGAACCAGAGGAACACAGGCCGGCCCCTGCTGCACCCTAACAACACGGACGGACACGACCTGATGAATTTTCATGGGCAGATGGGTCATTTGTCAGAGATACAGAAAAAAACACACTGAGACGGCTGTGTGTGTGATACAGACCTGCAGTGGACCACTACAGGGTCCGTCTGGTTGCTCTGTTTTTGGCGAGCCAACTCCATCATACCCAGAATGCCATCCGGCATGTCTGGAATTCCATGGTCCGGCCAGGCAGTATACTGGAAATGAAACACTTTACGAGCTTCCTAGGTGGAAAAAGATGGCGAGTTTTGACCAATGAACCCATTATGGTTACAAACACCAAATTACAATGTTTTAAATGAGCTAAAATGTGAAACATCACACACAGTGAAGGTTATGGCCTTCAGAGTAAACAGTGTTTTTACAAGACACCCAAAATGAAGTACACTGCAATTTTGTGGTTTGACAGATTTTCTTTAAATAGAAACGCTCTCAAAGGAACAATTCACCATAACATTTCAACTCTCTCATCTGCATATATATATATATGAAGAGTTCAGATGCAAAAGCCTCTAAATGCCATTTGAAATTTTCTTCTAAAATGACTATTTTTATCAAGCTTGCATATTTAAGTTCAGTAATTTCACTTAAATGACAATTAATAGGTAATCTTCATTGCCATTTACTGTAAGTGAAATTACTGAACTTAAATATACAAGCTTGATAAAAACGGTCATGATCATTTGATCATAAAAATGATCATTTTAGAATAAAATTTCAAATGGCACTTAGAGGCTTTTGCATCTGAACTCTTCATATATATATATACATATATATATATATATATATATATATATATATATATATATATATATACACACACATACATATATATATATATATATATATATATATATATATGTATGTATATATATAGAATTCCATTACATCAGGTCTATACCACATCTACTACATCTACTAATGACACACCACTTACATCACAATATTTTACCACCAACGTCCGAACAACGACTTCCTCATTTGGCCGCAACTCCTCAAGCTAAAGACAAAAAATGACAGAAATCAGGAGAACTTCATCTAGTGGGGCCTTAAAACTGCATGAACTACACTTTGCATCAAACTGCAGACAAAAAAACTGACAAAACTCTCATGAAGCGTGGAGATAACATCAGAAGGAACTGTTGTGAAAGATCAATATCCTGTCTCTTAGAGCTAACTGTTGAATTACACACATTGTTCATTGTTGAGAAGCACAGAAAACACTTACAGTTGAGACAGTAAAGGGGCCAAAAGTGGATGTGTCTGTGGTTGATGCCCAGTAGACTTCACATTTTTTCTAAACAACACAGCAGTTGTTAAAACAGTAAATGGCAAGAAAATGACAGGCATATGACACAGAACAACAAAGGAAATATTAAGATTACCTTCCCCATCTCGATCTCACGACAAGCCATGATTATGACCTGACAAAAAAAGAACAGCCAGACTTTAAAAAGTGAAAATAGTTCAAAAGCAATACAATTATGCATTGAAACTATAACGCAAATATAGAAAGAAATTACCTTTACATTGTGTTGCCAAATCATACGCCAGAAGTCAACCACAGTGCTGCTCACAGGGCCTTGGGTGGCAATATAGATCTTGTTTCTAGCAGCTCCCTAGTGGCCAAAAAATATAGAAAATTATAATAATTTAAATCTTTTTTTTTCAATCACAAATAAAGTGCAAGGTGCTCCATATAAGAAGTGTTGAACTTTAAAGGATAGTTCACTTTGAAATTAACTTTTGGTATGTTTTAGCTTACCTCAAGGGCATGCAAGATGTAGGTGTCTTTGTTTCCGCAGTATTTTAAATTTTTATACTTGTCTGTCAGTCATATAATGGAGGTCTATGGTCACCACCTCAAAGAGTGTGCACACAGAAGTCCAAATTAAACATGATTTAATGACTCGTAAATGTAAGTACACATTGATTGCCTAAGACACGAAATGAGTGGTTTGTGTGAGAAAACGAACAGTATTTATATCATTTTTACCTGAGTCACATCCAAGTGATTGTGCAGACCGAAGCGCCCGCGCCGACAAGCGCTTTTTTTCTCACACAAACAACTCGTTTCGTGTCTTAGGCCATCAATTGTGTACTTACATTTGCGAGTCATTAAATCGTGTTTAATTTGGACTTCTCTGTGCATGCTTTTTGAGGTGGTGACCATAGACCTCCATTGTATGACTGACAGACAAGAACGGTTTAACCTAAAAATATCAAAATTGAAACTACTGCGGAAACAAAGACACCTACATCTTGGATGCCCTTGAGGTAAGCTAAAACATACCAAAAATTAATTTCAAAGTGAACTATCCCTTTAAAACACTGAAGTACCTTGATGAAGCTGGCATTAATATAATCAGACTCATATTCAGATGTGGTTGGAGTTAGACAGACTCTGGACTGATCATCTGGAATACAAAAAAAGAAAAATAACAAGAATTTGCATATTTTTCCCTCCATCAGTGTGAGTAACTCAAAATAATTTATCAGGAAACACATTGTGGAGACTCACTTATGAAATATTATGACATGCTTTTGGCACTGCAATGCTAAAAAATAGTACTATAACTATAGGAGGCATGTTTTGACAGATGTGACAGATAATCATGTAAAATAACTTGTGTCACACTGAGAGGAACTGTGAGTCACATATATTTCAGAGCTGATGAGATCTGAGCTCACTGTCAGATGGGAAAATCCTGATAGGACATTAAAGTATGTAATATACTAACACACAAATAGTGTTAGTCTTAGCTGGATTGGGTTGTAAATAAAATAGAATAAAATAAAATAAAAACACCATATATGCCATTATTATTTCTGTAAAACGTATTTTTAGTTATTATTAGGGCTGTCAAATGATTAATCGCGATTGATCGCATCCAAAATAAAAGTTTGTGTTTACATAATATACCTGGGTGCACTGTGTATAATTATTTTATATATAAATACACACACGCTTGTATATATTTAAGAAACATTTCCATGTATATAGATTTATATATAATTTATATTACATATAAATATAAATATATATAAATATAAATGCATGCGTGTCTTTTTACTGTATATATATATATATATATATATATATATATAATAATTATACAGAGTGCACCCACATATATTAACAAATATAAATATTTGTTTTTGACATGAAAAAAAAAGCTAAATTAAATGCAATATATATGTGGAGGGACCAGTGAAAATATTACTCTGACTGGGCCAGCACAAAAAGCCTTATTGTTAAGCACTGGCAACATTTTTATTGTATAATTATGCTAAATATATATTTTTAAATTCTCACTGCAGGAGTAATTGAATTGCATTGAATTTAACAGAACTTTTAACCTAAAACGTTGATTTTGGACAGACAATGTTATCAGCTAACACATATTTCTTATAACAATGGCATGGTGTGAATTGCATTGAATTTAGTTAAAGAAACTGTTTCACCTAGAAAAAGCCTTAATAACCTTTAATAGAATTAAAATAAACCTCCTCTGAGAAGACTACGTACAGGGTAGAATATCCCTATAGCGGTTTTTCTTCACATTTTCTTTGATTTCTCCTGCCACAGTGGTCAGGCCATATTCCTCTTTCAAAGATGCACTTTTCTGTCGTATCAACTGAAAAAAGAAAAGAGGAAACACACAGGTATGAGATCAAAAATATATATTATTATTATTATTTTTTTTATATAAATACATCACAGTTGCAATTTCTGTCCACAAGGTGGCATCCTGTTGCTTCATGGAAGGGTCTTTTTGAGAGTGGATGTGGTTTTGAAACATTACAGATCAAACCCGAATTAAAGCTATTTTTCTACTACATACTGAAAGTATAACATTGACTTAAACATTTACATTACATTCATTCATTTGGCAGATGCTTTTTTATGCAAAGGGATTTGAATTGCATTCAAGGTATGCTTTTGATCCATTCATGCATTCCTGTTTCACACATGATCCGTTTGCAGCGCATATCCGGTCTGTAAGTATGTGGTGTGTAAGCAGCAAGTGGTCATTGTGCGCTGCTTCAGTTCAGCGCTACGATCCTTCAACACACTTGTCACCAAGCATGTGCAAGCTGAAAAAATGTGCAACAGTATATGAACTGAAGTATGTGTAATACGGACCTAAGAGTTGCTAGCGAAAAACCCCTAACTCATATCAAACAAACAAACAGGTAATGAATGTCTGTAAATAGAGGTAGCCACCCACTATAAGCTGCTCTTTACTTCCACTTCTTAAAAACAGAAGAGATCATCTCACATGGGTTATTTTCAACACAATGCTCTTGGCTGGGTCTCTGTAAAAGAAGCCACAGAGCATCACAAACAACTTATATCCCCTTTACCACAAGCAATAAAGTCTTGAGTGTTTTTTTTTCCACAGGCGCTTTATCTTCTGAGTAGTTCAAAACCGTGAAAACTAATGAGGAACTGTAGATTGTGGCTCTTACAAATGCCCTCTTACTTTTACTAATGCAGCCAAAGGAGTCAAAAAGCAACAGACACTTCTGTAAAACGTTGGTCTCATTGTAACCACAAGCAGATTGTAATAACGAACAGTTAACGTGATACTTCATCCGAAAATAAAAATTCTGTCATCATTTACTCACCCTCAAGTTGTTCCAAAACTGTGTGTTTCTTTCTTCTGTTGAACACAAAAGAAGATATTTTGAAGAATGTCAGTAACCAGACAGTTGATTGACTTGACCATTGACTTCCATAGTATTTTAGTCCATACATGGAAGAAACTGAAAGTCATTTGTGCCCGTCAACTGTTTGGTAGTTCCATATTGTTCTAAATATCATCTTTTACATTCAACAGAAAAAAAGAAATGCATGCAGGTTTGCAACAACTTGAGTGAGTAAATGATGACAGAATTTTTATTTTTTGGGTGAACTATGCCTTTAAGTCTACGATAATTATGATTTCAGATTATTAAAGTTCACTGGCAGAGAACATAAATGTGTCAAATATTATATATGTCCTCTGAAAGTTTAAAACATTAAACCAAGACGTTTTGAAAACTTTTTTTCTTGATTATAAGAACGTTAGAGAATACATTAAGGGAAAGTTACATTTGATCATTTTGCAAACATAATGCAATTATGAAATACTTTGAATGAACTTCTGAAAGTAGCAATGTTTAAAAATGTTTGAAAGATGTTCCATGAACAATGTAGAATATATATATATATATATATATATATATATTGCGTGCCAATGTTTTGAGAATGTTATTAAAGACCACATATCTTTAAATGAACTTTCTATTACTGGAAGAACGTTTGTTCATAACTTCGAGTGAATCTTTCCAGAAGGTTCCCTGTCAGCTGGTTTAAGATTCTGAAATGAAGTGGAATGAGCAGTAAAATATTTCAGTTCTGTTTACTGTTGCTCATGCAAATGTTGTGTGAACAGTTTTTTTTATAGCATGCAGTCATCAACTCATTTGCAAAGAAACTGTCTAAAGATATTTAACACAAAGGTAAAACTAATTCTCACTCAAAAAATTAGAAACTAAAGCACGTTCATGTAGTTATAAATGTGCACAAATTGATCATATTTACGCAAAAACATACTCTAGGTACCACGGTATAGTGATGATTCAGTATATGATGGTTATATTCCATGGAAATGAGATTACCATAATCATATACCATGGTATTTAAACAAGGTACTTCAAATAGTGATGTCATTTCCATGGTGTCATGCCTAAAAATGGTAATGCAATGATACAGTGGTGGTCCTTTTGATATGATTTCCAAAAAACATGGTATTCTTAGAAGTAGGCTAGCCTGCCTGGGAATGCCACAGGCTATGTGTATTGTGTATTTCCCAAATGATGGTATTACCATCACTGAACCATAATCTCACCACAGAATTTCCGTAAGGCTACACAACATAGGCGACCAATACAAATAACAGAATACATTTTTTCTCAAGCAAAACGTTACACAAAGAGAAGTTTGTTGTAATGACATTTTGGCTGTAGCCATAACATGACAATATCCAAAACATAATAATAGCATTGTGTGATAAGTAAGTAATATGAAGCATTGCCAACGAGGTTATTTAACTAAAGGGAGGTAGACTATAAAGGTTTAGGACTTACGCTGAACTCAGTTGAGATGAATTGGTCTCCACTGCTGCCATGGTCGGACAAACTGCGGACCCGCTCCACGAAACTCAACAGGTGCGCTTCCATCACCATATACTCACTCTCATCAGCATTTTACTGTGTCCTTTTTTTATACTCTTTGAACTTTCTTTAGCACAAATACATGATAATTTAGCCGCTTATATGCCCTGTTTCCGTCTTGGTAAAGTTATCCAGGCAGCAAACCTGACACAGGGAAGTTTCTCCCGCTGATTGTTGTTGGTCTATGGTCAACTTCATGTACGGCGTTGTCAATCATCAGCCGTCGCCACACCTACTTTATCATTCCAGCCAATCCGCGGTCAGAACCGTTACTCCGGTCACCTGAAGCGGTAAAGGGAGAAACCACAAACAACACTCCCTCATTTCGCTTGTGAAAATTATAAACTAGACTAACTTTACATTTACCATCATCCTTTGGGCAGCACGAGATCGCTGAATAACACTAATAAAAATAAAACTGAGAAATCGTCGATTACAGAGTAGACACTTTTGCTCTTCACTAATCTTTGCCGTCTATTGTGAAGTGAAATAGAAAGATAACTTGTCCAGTGACCACAACCACATTATGACACAATTATTGCTATTTCCAAACGTGTAAGTAGTAACTTCCACATGGTGAACTGATCTGCCCTAAAGTCATTATAGGACAAACCCTAACCAGCTTATAGGCCTAATAGAAGAGTTTGCGCCAAAATTAGCCTAGACTACACTGTCAGTCATTATGAAATTAATTTAGCGATTTTTACAGTTTAAATATATTGCAAAATAATATTAGTATACTATAGCCTAGTCATACTAACGTTAGTATTCTAATGTTATTCCATAGTTAGGCCTGTCATAATTGGCTATGGGTTTGAGGTTAATTGTGATTGTGATGCTACAGTATGTGGTAGCATTCAGCCTTTAATTTGTATGGACTGTATTTTTTAATTAATTATTTTGATAAATGTTTATCATCTTTTACATTTATATATCATATCAATTTCACTTTTATTTCTTGTTTTCGAGGTCTAAATCTAAGACCTAAATCAATAGGTTGCCATGGTTTCATCAAATCGTCCAAAACATTGTCAAAATACTCCGAGTCCTAATTGTATACCTGGATGCACATTTCTACTCCATCTTGACAGTGCTTTAGCATTCAAACAGCTTTATGTCCCACTTTAATATAATCTAAGTCAGCAATGGCACAGACACGTTCTTTCAGCAAGAAGCGAAGCATCATGTTCATCCTATTACACAGTTTTAACCGTTCTCTGATCCCCAGGCATCATGTGATACCTCTGAGACTCCAGAGTGAGTAATGGAGAGCCACAGAGATCCATTGTGTGACATCAATAGAACAAGTGTTTACACCCTTAAAAGAACAGTCCAGATGCTGAAGATTTTCACTTTGAGGGAAATGAGAAAGAGACGACATGCACAGGAGCGAGAATAGAGGAAGCTGGGAGTTTCAACCTGAGGAGACCCTAATAGAGGATTCTGGTGAGTTTCCATCTTGCTTGGCACAGGCGAACCTCAACTGGCAGAAAGAGGACCCCTCTGGAGGTTGTGCTGTGGATGTCCCAGGTCTGTCTTATCAGAATGAAGATATAATGTCAGAGAGTTGGAAGCAACACAGGAAGCATGTGTTTGTGCTGAGCGAGGCTGGTAAACCTATTTACTCACGCTATGGCAACGAGGAGGCCTTGTCCTCCACCATGGGTGTTATGATGGCGCTGGTCTCCTTCGTCCAGGCTGGAGGCAACACAATTCAATCTATTTTTTCAGGTGAGATCCACCATCTTCATTTAGGTTTTAAGTCTGATAGTGCCAACTTTAATCAGAATAAACTCAAAATTACCCTTTCCTTTTTGAAAATATGGACGGAAGGTACTTTATATGCAGACGGATGCATTATGGAGGATTGGGATTACACATAGTGTCAGCCATCTTTATTGGAAGGTAAACTAGCAGGCTCTTGTTCTGTATGAGCTGAGTAGTAACTTTAGGGATTACCATCCTCTTTTTCCCGGACATGTCCGGCCGTCGATGTCCGGGATTCAGCTTTTGCTTTCTGCAGTCGCCATGCATTGTTTACATGCACACCTTTTGTTTCAATCTAACTGAATTGAATCTGATTGGTGAATCTGAATGTAGTGTTTACATGAACGCTAAAAAAGTGATCGGTCGATGTGTGTTTTAACATTGCCAAGAAAATTCCCGCTCCTCCGTGAGAGATGCGAGACCGGTCTCTCATCGGTAGCTAATCACGCCACCGTCCCCGTGCTGTTCTCCCGCGGCCCTCACTCGTCCTGCTCGCCACAGTAAGCATGATGAATGGCGACTGTAGAACGCAAAAGCCGAATCCCGGACATTTTGGGCGATCTCGAAACACATTTTCGGGTAGACTCATCACAGAGACTCACAAGTAGAGTAGACTTGTTGTTTAAGTTTAACTACTGCCCTGTTACTGGTAGGCGTGGCCTCCAAGGGCAGCGAAGCAAGTGCATTCTGGGAGTTGTTGTCTTTCATCCACATTAGCCAAAAATACATTTTCTGGCTTTTCTCAGTCTAGAAAGCTCCAAATTTAAAAATAATTTCACATTTCTTCTACATAAATGACCCATTTTAAATACACATTCATCTTTCCAGAGGTATTTGATATGACAACACTTAACAGCTAATTTTACAATATTCTTTCCCTGTGTTTCTCTCAGATAATCGCACAGTGGTATTTTTGCAGAAGGGGCCGCTGGTGTTTGTGTCCGTTTCTTCCACTCGCCAGTCTGAGCAGCAGCTCCGCAGTGAGCTCCTCCATGTTTATCATCAGATAGTCAGCCTTCTCACGCAGGCCAGCATAAATCGTATCTTTGAGCGCCGGAAGAACTATGACCTACGGCGTCTGCTGTTTGGCTCAGAGAAGATTCTGGACAGCCTTCTCGATGTCATGGATTCTGATCCCGGCTTCATGCTCTCGGCGGTCCAATGCCTGCCTCTGCCATCCTCTTCCAGAGACGTTCTCAGTCAAATCCTACAGAAAGCCGTCACCCCGAATCTGGTCTTTTCCTTTCTCATTGCCAATAACCGACTTGTCTCCATCGTTCAGGAGAAGACGGTCCTGGAGGACGCTAGGCTAAAACCCAGTGACCTTCATCTCCTCTTCAACCTCATCAGAGCCTCTGCTTTTCAGGCTGGAGAGATATGGACGCCCATCTGCCTGCCTCTGTTCAATCATGACTGTTACTTCTATGCTTATGTGGCATATCTAGACCCGCCCGAATGTACTGTATGCCTTGTTCTTCTGTCTACAGATAAAGAAGCTTTTTATGCCATGGCAGAGTGCAAAAGGAAAATTGAAGAAGCTTTCGCATCCCAGAATGCCTTGCAGTGTGTGCCAAACACTCAGATGAGCTGTTTTGATAATATTGATGTAGCTAATCTCAGGCACTTCCTGTATAAGCCCTCAAATGTGCAAGACCACCATCGCCAGCTTTCACAGTTCACATGGTGAGTAGCTTGTAGTGCTTCATTTCAAACTGTCAAAGCCAACCACATGACAGTTTAACAGTTTAACAAAGACATCTTAAACAATGTCATATTTGCATTCAAAATGTCATTATTGAGCGAAAGTCACTTAATGACAGTTGTCATGAACATGCATAAACTTTACTTCATATTCAAGACATATGTCATGTCATGGTTATGAAGGTGTCCTGTCAGTCTTATGCACACCCCTTCAAGTAAAGTGTTACCGACTTCTCTTTTCGGATGACATGGGCCTCAAGTACAGGAAAAATAATGTTAACCAACAGTGAAAAATCTATAGACAGTTAACATTAATTAATTAAATGCTACAACAATGCTGACAAATAAGAGTAGATTATTCGGCAAAAAGTCTTCTCAAAAGCAGGGACTATTAAGATCTGACTCTGAAAACACCCACTTTTCATCATCCAATCAAGTTGCGCGATCAATTCATTAGTGTTTTGACTCATTTATCAGAATCAGTGGCTCTTTTGCCAGCAGAAACACCAGATGGGTCTCATATCCGGATAAACGATGGCCTATAATCCAGGATTTTCACATTCTGCAAAAGATTAGACCACTTTGCCATGAATTCTACAACAGTAATCACTTGATTCGGCTAATCACAGCATGGCTGAAATGTTTCAGACCCTGTTGAGACTCAAGAGGTGCCTTTTATGCAAAAAAATGCATGCAAATAATGGTCAACTGAATGATTAGACTGAAGCATCAAAGACCACATGATGTGTGGAAACAGTCTTTGTCTGTTTAAACCGTGTCTGTCTCAAATTTACTGAAATTGAGTTCTGTTTTCATAAACTGATTTGCATTGACAGCCTATGTTTTCATAATTTACATCTCTGCCATTTGTAATATTGTATACTGGTGTGATCAGGTCACATGTCTGCATGAATAATGTCTGTTGTAATCGATGATGCACACTATTATCATGCTAAAAATTATGCCTCTTTTTTTCTTATATCGCTTCACTCAGCCCAGAGATGGATGTGGCATACAGAACCCAGGATGAGAAGATACGTTTGCTGGATCTGTATCGAAACATGCACAATCGTATCCATAGTATGTCACGACCCCTTAAACTCATCTACCATTCTGCAGAAAGAGAAACTCTGCTGGCTTGGGTATGTGACAATCTATTTTTAGAAGAGTCAAGAACTTAAGTTCAGGATACTTGAAAGAATGTTCTAGGTTTAAAGCATTCAATAAGTAAACAAAACTGACCTAGGTTTTCTTATTGTGTGCATATACAGTATGTATGTTTGTGTGTGTGTGTGTGTGTGTGTGTGTGAGTGTGTGTGTGTGTATATACAGTATATATATATATATATATATATATATATATATATATATATATAATTATTATTTTTTTATTTTAATTTTTTTTGTTGTTGAGAATATTAGACTGATTTCTGAAGGATGCTGGAAATTCAGCTTTGATCCCAGGAATAAATTAGTTTTTAAAATATATTCAAATAGAAATCAATTGGGGCTATTTGAAATTGTAACAATATTTCACAATATTAATTTGTTTACTGCATCGAATAAATGCAGTCCCCAAGTGAGCATAAGTGACTTATTTCAAAAACATTTAAAAACATCCAACCCCAACCTTTTGAATGGTATTTAATATTTACAGTGTGTATTTCCTAAACTCGCCCTCTTGTTCTATAGGTCACTGGCAAGTTTGAGATGTACGCCTGCTTTACTCCTCTTATCACTAAGAAATCAGCTATCAGTGAACTCACTAAACTGCTGCGTTGGATCAAAAAGGAAGAGGACCGTCTCTTTATCTGTAATCTCCCAAAATACTCCACTGTCCCACAGCCAGGCAGGAGTTCTACAGACAGGGGGAGATCAGATAGACAGAACGCATCAGACACTGGCCTTCTGTCTCTCTTGTAGCCAGGGCCGTCCATAGTGCAGCCGGTGCACCCCCACCCCAGATCTCAAAAGGACCGAGGGGACTACAAACCAAACGCTATCAGACTGCGGGACGGCCCTGCTATAGCATTGTGTATCCTACTGGCCTGTTTTACATCCATGTTTCATGGTAAATTCAGTGCGTTTGCTTAAATGGGAGAAGTGGCTACATTGAATACAAGTCTTCCTTGTTTGTGGGTTCGTATGGTGGCTTGTTCCTTAATAAAGTACTGAAATTCATGTTCATTTTTCAGTTCAACTTTTGAGTCCTTGTTCTGCTGGCAACAGAGTTTGCAATGACAAACTGTTTTACTAATAAAGTACATATGTATGTGCCTCTGTTGAATCATGAGTTTAATCATGACTTTTATGTGTATGTGGCATGTCTAGATCATCCTGAATGTACTGCATGTAATAATAAGAAATGTTTCATTGTAAAAAAACAAAAAAAAACAAACTATTTTCTTAAAGGTGCCAAATGGGATTTAAAATCAAATCATACAACATGTTCCATACCAGATGGGGGCAGTATACCTCCAGAAATACCTCCACGGCCACGCGCTCTCTCATGTCTTCAAACAATATGGGCGAGTGCTGTGTTGCTCTGTCTCCCTCGTGCATATTCATCAAATCAATTGACGCGATAGTAAAAGGTTGGAAGACCGCAGTTTCACGTGGAGCATTTGGAGATTTTCAGAGATTAGAGACTTAATGAACAACATCTCAATACTAAATTATAAGGGCCGTCTCATAGACAAGTCGGTGCATTTCGACGATATGGGAAAATTAAAGCCCAGGCTATTATTTCTAGTTTTATGATATTCGATTTGTTCATATTACATTTTTATCATTAGTTTGAATAAATTTGACAGACAGCAATTCCCTGATGTGGACCAAGCTAGCGTCTTTCAGAGCTGCCAACTCTCACAACACTTTTCACACACTTTCACGCCACACATTTTTGTCATGCACAGAAAAGGACACTGAGACCGATGTCAGCTCTCAGATTCTGTTCATTTTATTACGCAATTCAAACAATAAATACAGTATTGGCGCTTTACACGACAGATCCCTAGCACACGTGAACCGATCATCTCTACTAGCTAATGGTAAAAGAACACGAACACTGTTGAAAGATACAGTATGCTACAACTTACCAAAATGTATTCCTCATGCATAATATCGACCAATCATTTTTTTTTAACTCTTCCCTGAACTGAAATGTAGTAGTGGGCTGTATTTTCCACACGACTGACGTCAGGTTCAAGTACACACAAGCCGGCGCGAGCGCGACTTACTCGTGTACTGCAGTTTGGCTGGTGGTAACGTTGCCCGCCCGCATACCGCCTCCCATGGTCGAAACTGGTATTACGACACCTGCCGGGCCGGGGCTAGTAATTTAGCATGCTAATTCAGGTTAATATCTCGGCAGCACTATTACTTGTCAGTTTTTTAATGACATCATCAACCTTATTTCTTCTCAATCTTTTGATGCGTGTTGCTCATTTTTGGGATATTTTAACCTCAATTTTTACAGATGGCACCTTTAAAAATTTCAATAGGCCTACTGTATTATTTTGCTAAGAAAGCAGCTGTGCAAACTGGCCCACTTTAATAACAATTAATAAAATGCTGAATTACATCCAAAAGCAGGATGATTTTTTATCCATGCCATTTTAAATCATATATTGGAGATTGAGAAGTATGTACTGCTTGTAAAAGTTAACTGCGCATGTGACACTCAGATGTTGCTCATGCTTTTTCTAAAGATACAAGTCAAACCTTGACTTGTCAAACCTTGTCAGAATATTTGGTTTCTGTTATGTGATCCTGCAACAGTTGTCATTTCTAGAAACATTTACCCTTTTTTCTTCATTCTCTCTCACTCACAACCATAGACTGTAAGCCAGGTTATTTACACTGTTGATTGTCTCTTTGACTGTGGTGACAAATAGACTATAAAATCATGAATGTAGTCTCTATTCATTAATCTATGTGAGTGCTTGATCTGTCAATATCTAAAAATAATTTGTGACAAGCGTCGAGTTAGTCGGCTCACAAGTCACTCGTCCCCAGAACTTCAGCAGTCAGTGAATACATTGTCTGAGTGCGCCATCTTCAGGACAGGGGCCGCCATTACTCATGGTGGCGTTTTTCCCTCAGCAAGCCAATGCGTTTAATGGGCGACATCAGAAAGCTGCAGCTTAACCTTCAACTAAGCAGAATGACAATTATTTCGGTAATACAAAGCTGTCAGAAAACAACGTAATAGCAGATAGAGTGAGTTTTATTCTGCCCAGCAGTGTTTTGCTCTAGTGAAGATGGCGCAAGCACTGTCAGAGGAGGAGTTCCACCGTATGCAGGTACAAATCTGTTTATTTGCGCTTGGTTTTGACATCTACCACAATTTTTAATCCACATATGAGATATTTAATGTGTTCAACATTGATGTTCGGTGGTAATATGTGTAAACGGGTATATTTTATGGTTGAAGTTGACGTCCATCTGAGCGGATTGGGGCTCTGTTAGCTCTAGCCGTTGACCTGCCAAGCTAACTGTTAACTGTTATGAGGCGGAAAATAGTTTTAATTGACTATCACGATATTTTTCATTAATGCATGTAATAGATTGGCTAATGAAACGGTTGTTTGTTGAAATGACACGGAATGTAGTATATATATGACGAGTTTGTGACATACAATACAGATGTGTTTAGCCCGTTAGCATGCTAACCTGTAATTAATGACCGTTAGCACGTCAAACAGCTGGTAATATTTCTTTTCTACACAACTGACGGGTTTAAAAATTATATATTTAGTTTTGGAGACGTGTTTCGAGTGAATTTTAAGATGCTAAATATCATATCCCTATTGTTTTGCGCTACCATTGTTTTGTTTACATTTCCAGAAGCATCTAATATTCAGTTATAGCAACCAGACTCTTTAATGAAATGTTTTCCATTATGTATTTACACTTTGTAAATAATTGTATTAACATGATTCATTGCATATGAAGACGCTGAGATTTGAATTATGCTTTTATGATGATGTGTTGTCTTAATTTCTGTTTTGGAATAATCAATATGTACCTTAATTAAATGCCCTGTTAACACCAGTACACAATCTTTTGCTCTGTTAAACTCTTTTAATGCGTATTTGGTCAGGCTCAGCTCTTGGAGCTGAGAACACAGAACTACCAACTATCTGATGAGCTTCGAAAAAATACAGCTGGTGAGTAGAGAGATGTAACTTTACACCTTTGCTTATTCAAGACAGACCAGCTGACCTGTTTGCGTCATTACTCATTAACACGGTAGATTGCAGTTTGTTATTAAAATCTGGTGTCTTATTGCACCTTTTCCACTGAACTTTTTCATATAAATAAAGTTTATATGAATATATAAAGTTTATATTATATGACGACAAAAAAAGGTATTGAATTTTTTTTTTTTTTGTATTTTGCCTATTTAAATGTCAAAACATTTCTGAGTATTAAACTCTTTTTGGCAGCTGGTAGCACAATCAAATTATTATACAAAATTAATTAATAATTGAACATGTGAAGGAAGTAGAAATTATATAAAGATAGGCATTCTAATTCTAAGTCCATTTTAAAGGGATAATTCACCCAAAAATGAAAATTATGTCAGTATTTACTCACCCTCATGTTTTTACAATCCCGTAACACCTCAGTTCATCTTCAGAACACGAATTAAGATATATTTGATGAAATCTGAGAGCTGGATCAGTCCTCCATACTAGTCCATAGGCTTCTTGAGGAATTGAAACTTGCCGGCCTCGAAAAGTTATTAAAGACATCGTTAAAATAGTCCAAGTGACTACAGTGGCTCTATCTCAACTTTATCAAACGACGAGAATACTTTTTGTGCGCAAAAACAAACAAAAATAATGACTTTATTTCAACTATTCACTTCCTTCTCTATGGGCCTATTAATTACTATTACCAAAATGCCATAGCAGTTTATGCTTGTGCAGCTGTCTGTCAAAAGTGATAAATGCAAGTATATGTGTATCATTTTGTATGTTAACTTCATATTCTGTATTACAGAACTCAACAGTGTCCGTCAGAAGACCTCGAACTTGGAGAAAGACTATATCAAAGCGCAGAAGGTAGTGTTTACCTTGATTTTTCAGCAAGTCATTGTCATGTGATAGAGGTCAATTTATCAGTGATCAAAATGTAGCACTGCTCATCGTTTCCTTCAAGGGATAGTTGACTTTGAAATTAATTTTGGTATGTTTTAGCTTACCTCAAGGGCATCGAAGATGTAGGTGTCTTTGTTTCTGCAGTAGTTTCAATTTTGATATTTTTAGGTCAAACCGTTCTTGTTTGTCAGTCATATAATGGAGGTCTATGGTCACCACCTCAAAGAGCATGCACAGAGAAGGCCAAATTAAACATGATTTAATGACTCGTAAATGTAAGTACACATTGATGGCCTAAGACTTGAGGGTTTCTCAAACTCAGTCCTGGAGGGCCACTGTCCTGCAGAGTTTAGCTACAAACCCTGATCAAACACACCTACCTGTGAGTTTCTAGTGATCCTGAAGACCTTGATTAGCTTGCTCAGGTGTGTTTGATCAGGGTTGGAGCTAAACTCTGCAGGACAGCGGCCCTCCTGGACCAAATTAGGATAGTTTGCTGAAAATGTTCATAGTAATAATTTTAGAGTTTACTTTCAACATCACTACTTCAAAGCTGTCATGAAACAGAAGTTGCGATAGTCTTTTCTTACCTATTGTGACGTATATTTGAGTGAAATGGAAAGATTTAGGACAGGACTTGACTTGGTTCATTGGGAATTGATGGTTGTGGTTTGCTATTGGTGGATGTGAGTGACAGGTTGTCTCGCCCTCACGGGGTGGAGATTGAGTGGAAATATGTTGTTCAATTATTGATATATTAGCTTTTATTAAGTAAATATTTTAGGTCAAAGGGTTTTTATAAGCAAAAGCACAGTGGACAAGACACATGCCTTTGGTGTGAGAGACCCGGATTCAAATCCACTGTGAGACACCAATGTGTCCCTGAGCAAGACGCTCCAGAGGCGTGCAACCTCTGACATGTATAGCAATTTAAGTCGCTTAAAGAGATGTTGCTGAGAAGAGGGAGGGGAAGTTATTTTGATTAAAGATTATGAGCACATGAAAAAAAATGATGTGCACGGATCCGCCACATTGATTTCGATTTCATGGTGACTTCAAAAATATTTAAAAAGTGCAGTCATTGTTTCTTCATCTTGTGTATGTTGTCAAATTGAAAGAAGTTGTCCATTCGCTAATGAAGTCTAATGAAAGTCTTCATTTTCACCCTTAGGCTTTGAACAAGAGCAAGAAAGCACAGGTGAGATTTCTTCTGAAAATCAGCTTTTCATTTTTTAACCATAATCGCTATGAATACAAATGCAATGATAT